GAACAGTTTTGGAATTCACACTTTGGTCTACTCTCAGTTCGATTCGAAAGACACTGTCACTGGTAGTACTGGCAACTGGGGCCTTAGGCTATTCATCCTTTATACATACATATGCACATATTACAGAAATATGGAAATAGTCTTGTCTAACACTTAGTGCTCAGTCGCACTATCGTAGCTGTAGCTTCTAGATCTCCAAGTTGAGTATTTTCTCTGGAATTTAATAAACCTTGTATATCTATGTATGTACCTTAAGAATGGGATGGATTATGGATGGATTATAAATATCTTGTTCAGCTTTGAATATGTTGTCTGTTACTTAATATAATTTGTGGACCTATTAGTAAAATGGTTTATCTGGGATAACATGTAGTTTGTAGATCTCTCACGATCGAGTATAGAGAGAGACGGCAGAACACAGACTTGATAAGGGGAGGCCAAGCAAGAGTGAGTCGCACACAAAACCAATATACTCTTTGCTCTTCGTGAACGAGTATGGAGGGACAGGGCATGCTAGGGCAGGGGAGGGCACAGGGCAGCATGAGGCAGGCCAGGGGCAGGACTTCAATTCAATTCAGATTTCGTTACGCACTGAGTGACAATAAATAATGGCATAGATGTCAGCGCTGTGTGGGTGGTTTGGGTTCAGTTTTTCCTTTAGTTTTTTGGGGCTGTCGAATCGATATGCATGCAATAATAAAATATACGAAAAGCATTTTCTTCTCACCCAAAACAATTCAGTTCGTTTTTACAGTTGTGTGCGTTAGCGTCGTAGGGGAAAGGGCCTGGCTGTGTTTTTTTGTATGTGTTTTTTTTTTTTTTTTTTTGGTTTTTGTTTTGGTAGTTTCGTAAATTCTTTGCCGGATGGCAGTGCATTAACCTACAACCCCGCCCCAAGGCCCAAGCAGATTCAGTGGCAGACTTCCGCCCATCCACGAGATGTTTCACATATGCGCATTGGAATTTGACAATGCGAGCAAGAAATGTGCCCAGGGGGGAGACGCGGAGTGGACCAGAATTCACTAGCTACTGGTGAATGCCGAACCGTTGGTCAAAGCAGAAATTGTATTGGTTGTGTTGATTGTGCTATGCACGCACTCGGTTAGGAATAATAAAACGAATCGTTTCTATTAAATTATTGCTATAAAGGAGCTCTTGATGGCCAAAGTGTTAAGAATCTAAACTCTATAAATATGTGTAAATGGAGTACGAAATTTATGTTCGGGTAGTGCACTCTTTGGTTTGACGATAGTGATAGTTGTGGTAGTATAAGTAGGTATAGTAGTAGCAGTTGTGGAAATAGTAATAGTAGTACTAGTTGTAGTAGTTGATAATAGTAGTAGTAGTAGTAGTTGTGGTAGTAGAAGTAGTAGTAGTTGTGGTAGTAGAAGTAGTAGTAGTTGTGGTAGTAGAAGTAGTAGTAGTTGACAATAGTAGTAGTAGCAGTTGTGGTAGTAGTTGATAATAGTAGTAGTAGTTGTAGTTGATAATAATTGTAGTAGTTGTAGTTGAGGTAGTAGAAGTAGTAGTAGTTGATAATAGTAGTAGTAGTTGTAGTTGTGGTAGTAGAAGTAGTAGTATTTGCGGTAGTATGTATATATGTATGTATGTGCATATACATACATATGTATGTATGTATATATTTATCGTTATATTTGTGGTATATTTTATTTACAGATTAGTGTCCCTTTAACTTACGGCAAATTAATCTTTACAAAATATTAAATACATACATAAAAACAAGAAAACTCTAGTCGAGTCAATTTCGATACATACATATGTATGTTTCAAAATATAAATGAAATAAAAAGCTCATTAACATCTCTGAGCGATACAGTTATTTCTGTTTTCGTTTCGCTCAAGTCAAACACTGATCGTTTGCTTGAGTTAAATTAAGCAAATTGTCTTTTGCGTATGTATGGGTAATCACGCGCGATTGCTGTGGTCTGTTGTATGTACATATGTATGTATGTATTTACATGCACACGTTGGCAAAGAAAGCGAAAATCGTATTACTCTTTACGCGACACTCATTTAAGAGCGTCACGCGAATGAGTCATTGCAAAGCGCTTGACTAAAACGGATTCCAAACAAAACAAAGAGAGGCGCTCAGAGCGAGATCGTGTCTTCGGTTATGTTACGAAGCAGAGCATATAAGAAACAACGATCAACACTCATTTGCGAGCTACATACATACATATGTATGCTTAAAAGTCCTAGCGCTAATATGTCTGTATATGTACATATGTACTTACATACATACTTACTTATGTATGTAAATATGTATGTACATGCATATGTGTGTATTCATTAGATAGATTTAAACAATGTATTTTATTGTCACTCTCAACTGATTAGCCATGTTAATTAATAAAAGTAAAAAAAAAAAAACGATAATTGACGAATAAGTGAATGAGTGCGAGATGGGCGAAAACGTCTTGGGTGAGTTTACATTAGAATGAGCTCAAGGCGTCATAGCCTACGGCCTCCAATAAAAAGAGCGAGAACAAATGAAGTCTTAAAACGGAATGAAAAATATGCCAAAACGTAAAGGCGTCGAACCACTCGAGATTACGCATACATTTTCTACTTCGTATTTGCTCGGCTTGGCAAAATCAGTGCGATGCGAGCGCTCAAACATATACATACATATGTATGTATGTACATATGTATGTACATGATCACATTTTCACATGCTATGCGCTATTTTTGCGTTACTCTCTCTCAGTTACTCTTTCTGTCTCCTTATGATCTCTCCTTTTATGTTCGCACAAGCAATTGCGCAGAAAAATTGAAATCTGTTCGCGACAATCATGCACACACACACACACACACACACACACCTTCAATTCTTTTTTGCTCGGCTGAATATTCTGCCTTGAGTCATAAATGTACGAGCAGCAGGCTGAGTGAAAGACTCAGCCCGTTTTCGGCATAGCTTCTATGGCACTCAATAAATTCATGCAACACTCTAGTACATACATACATGTTACATACATACATACATTCATGACACGCTCAAGCTAGTGGCAATTCGGAAAATTATATACATTGTATGTATGTATGTATTTTGAAACAATAAAATACACAAGAGCTACGCGCTCTGGAGTCGAACCCGAGACTTCTCGATCGAGCATCGCGCTGCTATCAACAACGCCACTTCACTCCTTAACAGGCTGATGACAAAACTGAAATAAATAAAGTTTGAATGTATGTATGTATGTATGTGTGCACACCTATGTATATTGAAACTGTTGTAGTTGCTGCACGTGCGATTGTTAATTGGGCAAATTATTTATTATTTTTTAACGTCGATAGGCTTAACGGAATTTAATGAAACTTATATATTAAATATTTGACATATTTAAAAAATTGCTAAATTGTTCTCAACTGGTATGAGACTTGAACTTGAGATCGACGCATTCAAACATACGGACAGACAGACAGACAGACGGACTGGGTCAAATCGACTCAGCTTGTCGCCCTGATCAAGAATATTATATATGGGCAATTCTCTAGTGGCGAATGTGACATTCGTACGTTTTTGAGTTAAAAAAAAAAAAAATAAACGAATGCCAAAACATTTTTTTATTTTGACGAATAGTGAATCCTTTAGCTCTTGATTAGCTCTATAATTGGTGCTAAATCTGATTTCAGGTAATTGTTAGTTTTCAAGATAATCACAAAAAACTAAGAGGTTCGCAGGCTACAGAAAACGTAAGTCGCTTTTCAAATGAAAAGTTGAAATGATTTTCAATATATTCAATTTATTAATTATAATAAAATAGAGAACTTTCGGAGTTCATATTGCATTGCATAGTGTCTCAATAATAAGAACAAAATGTGCAATAGAAATGCTCAAAACAGAAATTTTGCAGCTATTCGGCTTTGTGTCTTAATATTTCGAGATGTATTATGATAAAATGTAAAATTGGTTTATATTAGTTAAATTTGATGGATTAGTTATAAAAAATATGTCAGCAGAACATGCTTTCATTGAATTTGAATGTTTTGGCTGCGGTTGACCTTTCTGGAGAAATGCCCATATACTTTGTGGGGTCTGCCACGCGTCCTTCCGCCTGTTACATACATTTCAACAAAACCCTTATACCCTGATTTCCCATTTTCAATGGGTTCAGGGTATAAAAAGCCTTGCCTTGAGGCAGCAGGCATCTAAGTCTTCATCTTGTACCAAAGCGTGCACCTAGCACGATGTGGAGCATGGCACAAGAGGGTTCTGGCTGAGCAATAGCTCTAAATACTCTTTTGGCCATCTTAATCTAATCACACGATGCCCTTAGCTGTTTATCGATCTTTATGGAATCTAGTGTTTTGATCTGCTGTCTCAATAGACGCTGTTTGCTCGCCTATGTATATGCACAGCAATGACTGCACTGAAGTGCTCTCACCTGGCACTGCTGGTCGCTGACTGTGTGTGCCCGCAGAGCAGCCGGGCGGCCAGTCTGATCGTCCAGCTGGCCAAGTACACGAAGCGCTCTTCGGTTCTTCGATCGCTTCGTTGCGAAGAGCACAAAATTCCATGAGTCGATCGCGTACAGTTTGGGAGCAATTGAAGGCAATGTGTGTGTGCTGCCAAAAATACAAAATATGTGTACTTGCTGCTCATGTTGAAGGAACGCTCCGGTCTGGCACGGCCTGGCACGATTAGGCACGACCAAATCTGAATCTGAAGAAGAAATGGAAAGTAAAAAGCGGCGAAAAGCATTTGCCGCACAGCCGTCAACGCAAACAGACGAGTCGACATACAGAGAGAGATCGTGTAATCGATTATACCGAATAGCCAAATACTCTAATAAATCTGAAAGTGTCGATCGTGTTCGTAAAGTTCACAAAGCTCTGCAATAGATGCGATTTCTATTGCACGTGTGCTAATTACACACTCAGGTGTGTGCGCGCCCGTGTGTGCGTGTGTCCGTGTGTGCGTGTGTGTGTGTGTGTGTATCTGTGTGTGACCAAACGCGCGGTTTTTGGTCCACATTTTTTTTTTTTTCGGTTGCCTCATTTGGGTTTCCCATTTTATTTTTCTTTATTTTTGTTGTTGTTGTTGCTACTGTTGCTGGTTTCCAAACGATTTGTGTGTTGCTCTGTGCGCAACTAATTTTAGCCTTGGCTAATGCAATAAACTGCACCGGACAGCAGTCGAAACGTACGTAAATACCACCAGTGTATAATTATAATAATGCGAGCTGCGGTGATCTCCACATTCACAATTGACACGTGCAACGGTTTGTGAATGCGCGCCAGAGTCTCTCAACGAAATGCTGAGCGTCATGGCAACGCCACAGGAAATTCTGGATGTTGAGATGCGTAAGTTCTGGGGGAATTAGCACAACAACTTCTCAATATAGAATATATTGTAGTGTGCTATGTAGTATGCTGATATAGTTAATGGAGAAAGTGCTTTCATATAAACAATCTGTGTATAAATTTATTTGCTCTTATACTCTGTTCGCATGTGCAAAAATGGGCATATATGTTCACTCTGCATGGAGTGGAATTCTATTGATATTGATTTGCCCTTGTCATTGCTTGGATTAGCTTGGCTTGCCTTTCTTTTTGATATTTGATTAGTTTAGCTAAATACCAATAAATAACTACCCTAAATATCAATTCAAATTACTCTTCGTCAAAAAAAAAAAAAAAAAAAACTTTTCATTAAATCATTTTCTTGTATACTAATTTATAAGCTGAAGGTCAGCATATTCGTTCATTCATATAAAATGCCAATTTCAACTAAAATTTTATTCAGCTTCTTGCTGTCATTCAAATTGTTTGTATATATAAATATATGTCCAACAGTTAATTTGAAAAATTCGGGGAAAATATTTGTAGTAAAAAAAATGTATATATTTTGTTTAAATATATTTGATTCCAATTGACTTCAAAGGCGGAACAAAAATTGTTTTTAATGTAATTACGATTAGTCTTTAGCTTGAAGCTTCAGTTTTGGTAATTAACTCTTTAACGGTATCAAAACTTTTTTAAAGCTGTTTTTTTTTAAGTCTGAGAAAAATAAAAATTTACTGGGGTCTAGCTCTGAAGAATATTGTGGAAGCGGAAGCCAAATTTCCTATTTTTTTTATTTTTTTATTTTAAATAATATTTACGAGTCTTGATTGATTATTGACACAACAGTTTCTTATTTAATTAATTTTTTTTTTTTTTTTTTTTTTTTTGTTAAGAGGCCCCTTTATATATGTATCATTTTCGTTGCCATAGAAACTAAAGACTTTGTAGCCTTAGCTGTTCCAACATAAAAATCTCCAGCAGCTTCCCTCTTCTTAAATAAAAATTCATCAAAAAGGTTATACAATTAATTTGATGACCATAAACAGAGTATGGAAGAGTCGGCTATACCCGATTTCGATATATTCAACTTAAATATGTATTGTTTTTTTTTCTGCTGAAGATGTATTGAAATCAAATTTATAAATGGCCTAATGATTGAGATTTGCTTTTATAGATATTTAAAACACATAGATGTTTCTTTTGTATACCCTATATAAAGCGGATACATTACTTATCTCTTTAGGCAAGTAACAAATTTGAGCGACTTGAGCAGCCTTACTGTAATCCCGTCGAACATCAATCGTTGCACTGATCTCATTTTATTTGATGTATTTCCTACTTCCTGGTTTTGGACGAACTTTTGACCAAGATAGCGAGAAGGTCTACATTAAACCGTTTGAAATTTGTGTCTCGCCCTTCAACTGGAACATTGTTTATAAACAATGGGCGTAAACAATTGCTGGAATATTAGGCAAAAATATTACTCAAACTTGGGCATCAGATATGCTCGAACATGGATTTCGCAAACACGCATATAACAGTAGATATATACATGTGTATATAAAGTGTGTATATAGAGTGTATGTATTATATGATATGTTTTGTAAACAAAAATCTCCCTTACACGCTCCATTAAATAAACAACAAAGTTGATTAGAGATCTAAAAGGCAAAAAATAATTAAATGCTCACAAATTTATAATTTGCTTTAATTGGTTTTTCAGGTTAGTGCTTGATCTTTAGAGAAGTATATCTTAATGCTGTGTGCGAGTACTTGGCGAAAGATATTTGACTCAAGAAACTGTATATACTCGTAGTATACCTAGAGAATGAGTCAGCTGTGCTGGGATAACCCATTAAAAAAGCTCTGAAGTGTTTAAGAGGTTTGCTTGATGCTTGTTTTAGCATGAGGGAAAAGGCAGAGAAGCTTGCCTTAGATATAACATATATAAATGACTTTTCTTAGAAAAAATGCATATTTTCTTCGAATATAAATACTAGCTTTCCTAAGTCTGCTTATAAATCCATGTAAGTCTCAATTCTTTATTTTTCTTTCAAAGATAATGCTATACGACTTCTTATAATTATAATTTTCTGAAAGAAAATCAATTTTATGGCATACAAAAAAATTTGGTGAGATTTTCTTCTGGTGAGATATTCTCTATTTCGCATAGAGCTTTTCTGATAACGTTTTTTTTTTTAAATTTATTTTTCCAAAATTAAAAAATTTTGTTTGCTTAAATAATACAGGGAATGAAATTTGTATTTTTTATTAATACAAAAAAATAATAATAAGTAAATAGAACTGAGTTCAATAGATAATAATAATATAGAAAATATTCAATAGTAACTGAGATAATTTATTGTGCGCTTTGCTGATGGCAAGCTGGTTATATCAGAAAACTCGTCAAGCTTGGATGAAATATAAATAATATAAATATAATACAAACATAAATACATATCGTGAAATCCCAGAAGAAATCCCTCAGCTAATCGATGACCTAGGCATTAGTCACTCATATACTAGTATAGTCCCATTGAATTGCCAGTTTTTTAGTTTAAAGTGATATGGGTGTGGGTGGGGGCTGTTGGGGTTGCATGGGCATTGGGCTACCCTTTTTGAGTATTTCCACGATTTGAACACTTAGCAGAACACGCACTGATGTATAATGTGCCACCCACGGCGTTTAAATGGCTTCTATAATGGCCGTGCGATTCGCATTAAAATAGATTCCCCAGATACAATTTCCACCCACATATCGTATCAGACTAATGGTGTTAAGATCCATTCGAATTGCTGTGCGTGCAACACGTGCGGGCATTTTGATTGTGTGCGGCAAGCGACAGGGAGGGAGGGAGGTAGGAACAGACGCAGACGCGGAAGCGGGGCGTGGATGGGTGGGTGGGTGCATCATTAAAGATGGTCAGCATATGGAACGTAATTAAATTTATAGAATCCGAGCATATTATGTATATGAAATCGTTGGCATTTAAAATAATAAATACGAGTGCAATATAATTTGGCAAATAAACAAGAAGCGAGGCGGCAAATTTTCCATAGCTATAAGAAAAGAACTGAGAACATGGAGAAGAAGGAGAAGAAGAAGAGAAACCGCTCATAGCATCCGTTGAGGAAGAAGGCGAACATATGTGCCCCGATTCTGGCCCCAAACCCATTTCATAGCAAAAACACACACAAATTATGAACGCCCCCCATAAAGGTGGCAATTGCCTTTTGATGTTGCTTTTTAATGTCTAGCGAACAGATCTTGGGAGTCCCAAAAGCAATTTGATTCGACGAAACGCTGAATCGCTGAATCGCCAAATCACCAAGCGGAACAATGACTAAAAACGAACTTGAACTGCCAAACGGAAATGTACACATTCATTGCATTACGATTGTTTAAAAGTTGCTCGCATTCGCGGCATTGTTTTCCACTGTTTACTGTTTGCATGCGGCATGAAATGTTCGCTGCGCCTCAATTAGCTGTCAGAAATATCAACTCTTCCAGCCCAGGCCAGGCCGTGTCGATCTTCTGTCGACTGATCCCCGATCTAGTCTGCAACAACACTGTGCAACAATGTCGAGGAATCAATAGTGGAAGGATGATAGAAGTTGTGAAGCTCTTGAGCTAGGCTGGATGGGAAATATTACGGTTATGTTGGATACGGCGTAAACTGAAATTTGCCTTGTCTAGGAAGCTGATTTAGAACTAGAAGGTGAAGCACAATATATACAGTGCTTATCATAATTATAGCCCACCCTGCAACTTAAACTTTGAGCCCGTTGTAACAAAATTTTTAAGGTTTTTTAAAAATAAATTTTACAGCACATTATAGACTGGAGCATGTTCAGTAGATTTTATCAAAATTTTAGTTCAATTTATGGAAAACTAAGAAAGAACCGTTAACTTTTGCTCTGTGCTAGCATTTTTGCTTGCATTTTTGTGTATCATAATTATAGCCCACTGTCGCAAATTTGAATTTATTAAGTGCGGAACAGACTTTTGGCTTTACAGACATTGTAATTAAGTAAATTTCGATAGTTTTTAAGAGATGCCGCTTGGAAAACAATTATCTTATTATGAAAAGGACCGTATTTTCTCACTTTTCGAGTCAGGAGAGTCTATTTCGAGTATTTTACGAATTTTGAAAAAAAGTCAAAGTGTAATTAAAATTTTTTTGGATAACCCCGAAGAATAAGGATCAAGAAGACGTACTGGGTGAAAACCGTTACTAATTGCGCACGATAAACGCAAAATTATTAAGAAAGCCAGCAACAACCCAGCCGCTTGTATAGCTTTGGCCGCACATGTGGCCGAATCTATGTCAGCGATGACTGTTTGGCGAGTACTTAAGAGCTCAGGAATCATAAATAGGTCTAAACTGACCAAAGCATCCATGTTGCTAAGTCGCCACAAGGTTGCTCGACTTGGTTTTGCCGATGGACATACTGCGACCGATCTGACATACGCGCGTTTGAATCATCGTCTTTTGGCTTACAGTATATTTATAAATTTTTACCCTAACAGGTCGTATTTTCTGATGGGAAGAAGTTTAACCTGGATGGTCCTGATGGGTTTGATACTTATTAGCATGATTTGAGGAAGGATCCTATGTTTTTTTCAAGGACAAACTTTGGAGGTAGCTCCGTCATGATTTGGGGTCCATTTTTTTTATTTGGTACCTGGGAATTGAAGTTTGTAACGAACCGAATGAACAGTGAAGAGTATATTCAGGCTCTGGATAGTATTCTCATTCCATATTCAAGAGAATTACGTGAGAAACCAATGGTTTTCCAACAGGATAATGCCAGAATCCATGTGAGCAGACGTACAAAAGAGTGTTTGGAGGAATGTCATGTTGATGTCCTTGACTGGCCAGCATGTTTTGGGGATCTCAACCCGATAAAAATGTCTGGGGTAATCTTGCAAGACGTGTGTATGCCAAAAATCGCCAGTTGGAGACAGTTGGATATCTTAAAACGCAAATTCTAAACGACAATGACTAAATAACAAA